TAAACTATCTTAACAGGCCCATATCAAGCATTGAAATAGAAACAGCAATAAGAGACCTCCCAGCTAAGAAAAGTCCAGGACCAGATGGTTTTACAGCAGAATTTTACAAGGCCTTCAAAGCAGAGCTCACACCAATTCTCCTCCAACTCTTCAATGAAATTGGAAGAGAAAGCTCACTACCGAACACATTCTATGAAGCCATCATAACCCTCATCCCAAAACCAGGCAGGGATTCATCAAAGAAAGAGAACTACAGACCCATTTCTTTGATGAACATTGATGCAAAACTTCTCAACAAAATTTTGGCCAATCGACTTCAACAATTCATCCAAAAAATCATACACCACGATCAAACAGGATTCATTTCAGGGATGCAAAGCTGGTTCAATATACGCAAATCAATTAATATTATTCATCACATCAACAAGAGCAAGAATAAGAACCACATGGTTATCTCAATAGACACAGAAAAAGCATTCGACAAGATCCAACACCCCTTTATGATGAAGGTTTTGGAAAAATTAGGAATCCATGGAACATTCCTCAATACAATAAAGGCTGTATATGACAAACCTACAGCCAGCATTATACTCAATGGTGAAAAACTAAAGCCATTTCCTCTTAACTCAGGAACAAGACAAGGATGCCCACTCTCTCCACTTCTCTTCAATCTAGTATTAGAATACCTAGCTACAGCAATAAGACAAGATGCAGACATAAAGGGGATCCAAATAGGGAAAGAAGAAATAAAACTCTCCCTCTTTGCAGATGACATGATCTTGTATTTAAAGAATCCCATAGACTCCACTCCCAAATTACTCAAGCTGATTCAAAACTTTGGCAAAGTAGCAGGTTATAAAATTAACCCCCAAAAATCAATGGCTTTTCTGTATGCCAACAATGAGAAAAGTGTGGCTGAAATTAGGAAAGCAACTCCATTTGTAATAGCCCCACAAAAAATAAAATACCTAGGAATTAACTTAACTAAAGAAGTGAAGGACCTCTATGATGAAAACTTTAAAATCTTGAAAAAGGAAATCAACACAGAACTTAAAAAATGGCAAAACCTCCCATGCTCCTGGATTGGAAAGATTAACATCGTGAAAATGGCAATACTTCCCAAGGCTATCTACAAATTCAACGCAATACCTATCAAAATTCCACCCTCATTCTTCAAGGAAATAGAAGAGACAATCCAAAAATTCATATGGAACAATAAAAGACCCCGAATAGCAAAAACACTCCTCAACGGAAAGAACACGGCTGGAGGAATATCAATACCAAATTTCAAACTCTACTATAAAGCCATAGTAATCAAAACAGCTTGGTATTGGCATAAGAACAGACCTCAGGACCAATGGAATAGAATTGAAAACCCAGAAATGAACCTACAGACCTATAGCCATCTAATCTTCGATAAGGGAGCTAAAACAATAGAATGGAAGACAGACAGCCTCTTCAGTAAATGGTGCTGGCAAAACTGGTTAACTACATGTAGAAAACTAAAGCTAGATCCTTATATATCACCCTGCACCAGAATCAACTCCAAATGGATCAAAGACCTTGAACTCAAAGCAGACACTCTGAAAACATTACAGGATGGAATAGGAGAAACCCTGGGTCTCCTTGGCTCAGGCCGAAATTTTCTGAATAGAGACCCGGAAACACAACAAATCAAAGAAAGGTTGGACAAATGGGATTGTATAAGGTTGCAGAGCTTCTGCAGGGCAAATGACATAGCTAGCAAGATCAATAGAAATCCCACGGACTGGGAGAAGATCTTTACTAGCCATACAACGGACAAGGGTCTCATATCTAAAATATACTTGGAACTCAAAAAATTAAACCACCCAACAACAAATCCTCAAAGAAACAACTGCCCAATAAGTAAGTGGGCGAAAGACTTAAAGAGAAGCTTCTCTGAAGAAGAAAGAAGGATGGCCAATAGACACATGAAGAAATGTTCAACATCCCTAGCCATAAAAGAAATGCAAATCAAAACAACATTGAGATACCACCTCACTCCAGTTAGAACAGCAAAAATCAAGAACTCTAACAACAACAGATGCTGGAGGGGATGTGGACAGAAAGGAACCTTACTTCATTGTTGGTGGGAATGTAAACTTGTTCAACCACTTTGGAAAGCAGTATGGAGGTTCCTCAAAAGACTTCACATAGAACTCCCCTATGACCCAGCAATCCCACTTTTGGGCATTTACCCTAATGTTTACAAAAAAGACCACACTAAAGCTACCAGCACAACTATGTTTATTGCAGCATTATTTACCATAGCTAAGATATGGAACCAACCCAGATGCCCCTCAATAGATGAATGGATCAAGAAAATGTGGTATATATACACAATGGAATTCTATGCCTCCATCAGAAAGAATGACATTGCCCCATTTGTTAGGAAATGGAAAGGCTTGGAAAAAATTATATTAAGTGAAGTAAGCCAGGCCCAAAGAAACATAGGTCCCATGGTTTCCCTTATTTGCAATATCTAGTATAGGTATGAGTCAAGCGGAAAAAGTCAGAGAATGTGATGTTAGGAAAACGAACCCTCAAATATGTATTTTAATGTTTTTGTTTCTTTCATGCATGTGTTACTAACACATTTATAAGATTATTTCTTGGTTGCTTTGTATGTCCCTCCCCCACAGTGTAACCCCTGCTTTCACTATATTTGATGTCAGTATAACATGTGGAGGAGATGGGGACAAACAAGTCGTTTAAGGATTCAGGTGGACCTGTTGCAACAATGAGAAGTACAAAATGTCATGTCAAAACCAGCTTTCAATGTCGGAGGGGGGGGTGAGGGGGGGTATGATTGGGTGGGGGGGAGGGGGGAGGCTGGGAAGGGAGGTGAAGGGTAAACAAAGGAGGAGGCTGCAATGCTTGGTAAGAAATGTATGCATTATCCTGACCATGTAATTGTAACCCCTCTGTACAGTATGTTCTCAAATAAAATAAAATAAAATTAAAAAAAAAAAAAAACCTCAGTACTGCCAAAGAACAAAGAACCAAAGCCAAAAAACAAAACAAAGCAAAAAATAGAAGAATGATATTAATTTCTCCCAGTGGCTCACAGCAAACCCATTTCCTGCAAGACTCACAAGCAATTCTGCGCATTTGGTCATCTATATAAGATGAAGTGAGAACCTGCTCAGATTGTTTTCTTTGCATTAATCAATATGTGATTATGTTACGATGTTAAATTACATGAACACTGACCTTCAGGGGCTAAAATATGAAGTGATGTGTGCAGAGACTCACAAAGCAGCGTGTCTAAATCACAAGTTCTGCGAATCGTGCATGAAGCCAAATTAATTTCACGTGTAGGCTGTTATGGGTCTGCTCTGTGCTGGCAGCGCAAGGAAGGAAATCAGATTTGCACTCAGAGGAGAAGAGCTGAGCGCTGCATCCTGGCATCCCCAGGTGCAGGAGGTCATGTTCCCTGGAGCTGATCCTTCAGGGGTGCTGGTTCCCCTGGAAACACGGAGCCCCGGGGAGAATGTCAGACCTTCCACAGGAAGACGGGAGCAACTTCACCTGACCTGTTCCCATTCCATGTACACATTGATCCCATTTATATCTGAATGTGTCTACCTAGGGCTGTGAATGGTAATTTACAAACTAGGTGTCAGCTGACAAATCCCTGATGCTGCGAGTACTTGGAAAACGCTTGGCTGTCTGAGCTCCCGGGTCTCTGGGGCAGGCTGAAGAGGAGAAGCAGGCCGGGCTGTTCCAGGACCTGACCCAGATCTCAGAGGAACAGAAAGGCTGCTCCTCCTCTACTGTGTTTCTATAGAGACTTCGAGAAAGCCAGTGGATTTCTGCTAAATCCTTCTCCTGGGGACATGAGCTATTTTGTTCATTTTCCAATGCTAGACCCTACTCCAAAGCTTGGTCAAAAATTCCTACACAAGTTCCTGTGTCTGGGTTGCTGTGTGTTTGTGCTGTGATTCCCTGCGTCCTGAGCCTCCTGGTGGCCGCGGAGCCTGTGAGCTGTGCAGGGGGCTGCGTCCACGCGGAAGAGCCCGGGCTCCCAGCGTCTCCTATGAGGCGTGGTTGGGAGCCCTGAGGGGGCGTGCCTTGGGACGCAGTGTGGCCTGGGCTCCAGGCCACAAGCACTCCTCCCTCCCCCATGGTTCCCAAGGCCACCCTGGCCCATGAGCAAGCGGAGGCTAACTTCTGCTAAGAAAAATTGCATGGTAGTGAAAACATGGGAAGAAGCCAAATGCCCACCTGTAGAAAACAGATCCATCCACCCGGGCACAAGCATGCTGTGAATAAATTACTGACATCCGAGAAGCAAGTGCACTAATATACCCAGTGTGATGTGGGAGAACAGCTCAGTCTTCTCTGGTGTAAACAGAGAAGTACTTTGTGGCCATCAAGACAATTAAAACCCACGCACCCAAGGTACACATCACGCTTGGTGAACGACTGAGCCCCAAAAGATCCCGTGCAAGTATTCTGTTTTTACAAATTTAAATTAAAGAATTGAGGTACTCCATTTTATCAATTAAAAATGACTATAAGTCATCAGTTTAGGTGTAAGCGAACAATATGAAGTATATAAGCAGGAAAATAAAAACACGGCATGTGACTGCAGACAGTGTCAGCTTTGGGTCCATAGACGGCAGGGTAGAAGACATTTTAGTCAAGATAGACTCATAGCTACTTTCACAAACAACCAAATGCAATGTCACAGGCTGAGTTTTGTGGAGGCCCGGACTCCAGGGTGAGCGGGGGGTCAGCCTCCTGTGTCTGCAGCCGTGGCTGCTCTGCCCTGGGCACCTCTGGTGCCTCCCTGCAGTGAGCTTCCAGATGCTTCCGTTTTCCTGGTTCTCTGGTGCCCGAGGGTGCTGGCAGGCATTCACATCCACGGAGTCTGTTCTCCTCACAGGGCTGCTTCTGTTCAGGCCGGAGGACTTGAGCCCAGCCCCCCTGCCACGCCACAGAGAAACAATATCCCCAGAACCAGCCCCCCTGCCATGCCACGGAGAAACAATACCCCCAGAACCAGCCAATACCCCTGCCACACCACGGAGAAACAATACCCCCAGAACCAGCCACCCCCAGCCAGCCACGGAGAAACAATACCCCCAGAACCACCCCTCTGCCACGCCACGGAGAAACAATACCCCCAGAACCAGCCCCCTGCCATGCCACGGAGAAACAATATCCCCAGAACCAGCCCCCTGCTACACCACAGAGAAACAATATCCCCAGAACCACCCCCCCGCCACACCACGGAGAAACAATACCCCCAGAACCAGCCCCCCTGCCACGCCATGGAGAAACAATACCCCCAGAACCAGCCCCCTGCCACGCCACGGAGAAACAATACCCCCAGAACCAGCCCCCTGCCACGCCATGGAGAAACAATACCCCCAGAACCAGCCACCCCCCAGCCAGCCACAGAGAAACAATACCCCCAGAACCAGCCACCCCCAGCCAGCCATGGAGAAACAATACCCCCAGAACCAGCCAACCCCCAGCCAGCCATGGAGAAACAATACCCCCAAAACCAGACCCCTGCTACACCACAGAGAAACAATACCCCCAGAACCAGCCCCCCGCCACGCCACAGAGAAACAATACCCGCAAAACCAGCCCCCTGCCACGCCATGGAGAAACAATACCCCCAGAACCAGCCACCCCCCAGCCAGCCACAGAGAAACAATACCCCCAGAACCAGCCCCCCCGCCACGCCACAGAGAAACAATACCCCCAGAACCAGTTCCCCGCCACACCACAGAGAAACAATACCCCCAGAACCAGCCCCCAGCCATGCCACGGAGAAACAATACCCCCAGAACCAGCCACCCCCCAGCCAGCCATGGAGAAACAATACCCCCAGAACCAGCCACCCCCCAGCCAGCCATGGAGAAACAATACCCCCAGAACCAGCCACCCCCTGCCATGCCATGGAGAAACAATACCCCCAGAACCAAATGATGACTGATACCAGGAGAGAAGAAAAACAATAATTGGCTCAACATGGATACAAAAAATAATTATGTTTTAGCTTGCCTCATACCTGTAATCCTAGCTACTCAGGAGGCTAAGATTGAGGGTCACAGCTCAAAGCCAACTGGACATGAAAGTCTGCAAAACTATAAACTCCAATGAACTGCCAGAAAACTGGAAGTGGAGCTGTAGCTCAAGTTGTAAAGTGCCAGCCTTGAGCAAAAAAGCTCAGGAACAGTGGCCAGGCCCTAAGGCCCCCAGGACCGGCACATACACATACACAAAGAGATTTTAAAATGTCAAATTAAATAGATTTGTAAGTATAACCAGGCACTTAGTGTGGAGCTTTCCCCAGCCACTTCAGCTGCTTCCGAATGTGCAAAGTTCTGCAGGCTTCCTGATCAGAGACGAAAGTTACCACTACAGAATACTGCAAACCTTTCCTAGAAATTTCTCCACATGTTGCCTATGATCACAGTGTGGTTTCAATACAAGCATGATTCTATTTCTCTTCTCCCTCAAGCCAACACTCACTGAATCCATCCCTTTCCAATCATATATATTGACACCCTGATATATGAAGAAATAAATCATATTTCTAGGGAGAAATTTTTGAACATAATTAAAGTCGATCAGCTCCTGGTTGAATACGAAAGAGTCTTAGTTTCCACAGAAACTAAGGGTATGACAGCTTCAGGGTTTGACAGTTCACTTTAGAGCAGAAAAACCCCAAAAAGATGAATTCTAATTCTATGAATAACACACACATAGACGGATCCATATACATACAAGAGTCCTTTGAGAGTTGCTATTGATGATCTATGAAGGATTATTAGCTTGTCAAACTTTCTTTCTTTGCCACTGACAAGTTTAATAGGGAAGAGCAGAAGACACTGTCCTTAAAGTTCACCAGCAGAATACAAAAGCCACTCAGTTCTCCGTGACATTAATAACCAACACCTCAAGGGTGGGTGGCGGTGGGAGGGAGAGAGGAAGGTCTAAGGTGGAAGCGTTTAAGCAGATCGAGGGCTGGGGTGTGCTGCAGAGGGACTTCAACCACCGCCACTTGATTGGCTGCATTTTCCAGGCAGTGAACAGCGCCACAGAAGGTGCATAGTGCGGGGCTGGTTGGAACACTCCTGCTCAAGCGTGGAAACCCCCTGTGGGGCGGGCTTCCACTGCCTGAGCCTACAGTGGGCTCCTCCCCAAAGCCCTGCCAGCCAGATCCTCAGAGCAGGTGAGATCCTCCCTCTGTGAGACCCCTGCCCCACCTCTCCGGTCCCCACCCCCGCCCCTCTCCCGTCCCCACCCCCGCCCCACCTCTCCCGTCCCCACCCCCGCCCCCTTCTCTTCCATGGCCTCACCCCCGCCCCTCTCCCGTCTCCACCCCCGCCCCTCTCCCGTCCCCACCCCCGCCCCACCTCTCCCGTCCCCACCCCCGCCCCCTTGTCTTCCGTGGCCTCACCCGTGCCCCTGGTGTTCTTCATGCATGTCCTGAAGTTTTTACCTTCATGCTGAGCAAAGACGAAAGCATTTACCTTTCGACAGACAGCACAAAGGCCTCAGAAGACACTTCCACTTCCATGTTGTCTCGGTTGAGTCTGAAGTCCCACTGCCAGAGTAAGTGCATCTGTCCCTGTCATGCGGTCTGATGGATTTGGCCCTGCAATTCTTGCTGCACAGGATGAGCAGCAGCCGCCCTTCCTCGGAGCTCTACGGGGCTAGGGGTTCCTGAGACTTCCCTGCGGAGAAGCTCAGGGGAAGCCATCTGCTTTGTTTCTTTCTTATTCTTTTCTTGATTTATTTTTATTCTTTTCGGGCCGTTGTGCAAAAGAGTTTCAATTCAACGCATCAATTTATGAATGTAGTGAACCTTGGTGGGTGTCAGTCTTCCCTCCACCTGTCGCAGCCCTGCCCAGCCCTCAGGTCCCAAGCTCCACTGACACTAAGTCTTAGGATGGCACTTCCTTTCTTCACTGGGGCTGGGAAGGTGGCTCAGTGGTAGAGTGCTTGCCGTGCATGCATGAGGCCCTGGGTTCAATTCCTCAGCACCACATAAGCAGAAAAGGCCAGAAGTGGTGCTGTGGCTCAAGTGTAGAGTGTTCGCCTTGAGCTGAAGAGCTGAGGGAAAAAACTATTTTTTTCTTTTCTTTCATCTCCTTTGTCAGTCTGGCTCTCTTCTCTTTGAACGCATGTAGCCCTTTATTTGCGTGCACTTGGATTCATTTAGCGTTTCATCTGTTTCCACTGAATACCTTTACTTCTTTACGTGTATACTCTTTGTGCCCACATAGCTGCTTGTAAGTGCCTCCTTCATTTCATTGAATATTCTTATCAACAGTTCTTTGAGATCAATGGTTGAGTTTTCCTCTATTCCACTGTCTTCTGGTCCTTTGTTGCATAATTGTTGTTTTCTGGAAGTGTTGTGTTTCCCTGCTTTCTTATATTTCCAGCATTTCTACATGGGGATAGAATCATTTGAGGACCCTTTTTTCTTTGAGCTTAGGTGCCTTAAGTCCTGATGGGTGATGGTCTGTCGTCAGTGGAGGAGGTGTTGGGCGGGGTGGTGATTCTCTACCGCACTGTGTCTGGATGCGAGCTGTGGTCTCTACGGAGGAGGAGAAGCGTCTTCCTCCATCTCTAGATTCCCCCCAGGGAATCTAGGTCCAAATGTCCCTCCCTTTCCATCCCTCCCGTCTCTGACCATTTCTTGCATGCACCTCCTAGTTCGAGCCATTCCTCCTGTCCTTTCCATCTAAACCTTACTATATGTTCTGATTCATTTTATTTAGGTCCCTTGAGGTTGTTTCTGGTTACTTAGAGAAGTGTCCATGCTATTCAACGCAAACTACAGATTTAATCTGCTTCCTACTGCGATTCTAATGGCATGGTTCAGAGAAACAGAAAAAAATGTGGGAATTCATATGGAATCTCAAATGACCCCAATGAGTCAAAGCTAGCTGAGGAAGACCCAGGCAGCTGGAGGTGCCCGTGGCATCTCAGCCTCTGACAGCTCTGGAGTTCACCAAGCACAGATGATATTTGGAGGGAAGGCAGCTAAAGTACAGTTGGTGCATCAGCCAGGTGCTGTGAGCTCAGGTCTTTGTCCTCAGTCCTGGTGCTGTGAGCTTAGTCCTTTGACCTCAGCTCAGTATCAGCACAGTCTCTTATCCTCAGCCCTGGTGCTATGAACTAAGTCCCCTTTAGAGACAAGAGCTCTGTGGAAGAAACTATTGCAGACGTAATGGCAACCAAACCCCCTCCATATTAAATATTTATCCAGCCTCGCAAGCTGCAAACCACTTAGATTTCCTCTGTTCTGTAGCATCTCCCTGAAGCCAGTTCACAGTGGATAAATGGATTGGCTTTTTTTTTTTCCCAATGAGATGAAGAAGATAAAGAGGCTTTAGAAATGAATCACAAAACACATAGGCTATTGTCAATATCTCTCCGTCTGGGTTTTATCCACACTGTGCCACCTTCCTGGCAAAGGCTCACTGGCAGAAAAGGTCTCTGGCCCCTCTGTGTTTGGCTCACCCTGGACATCTGAGTCCTTCAGAGTGGAGGCCTGCAGAGCGCTCCCCGGCCGGCCGGGCTTCCAGCCTCGCTCCCAGGCCTGCAGAGCGCCCCCCGGCCGGCTCCCACGCGAGGCCGGCTCCGGCTCCCACGCGAGGCCGGCTCCGGCTCCCGCTCTTCTCACTTGCGGTCTAACTCCCGCTGTGCCGGGCCGTGTCTGTCCCTGCGCCAGCCCCAGACCCAGCGCCTCTGCCGCCAAGGGCTGCTCGGGGTGTTTAGCAATTCTGGGAAGGAGATCGATGGCAAAGTCGGTGCAGGCTGAGCAGAACCGTTTCTCCCCTCTCCAGGCTGTGTGAGCTGAACGCCAATGCGGCTGTAGGCACACAGCTCAGCACTCCATTATTTCTCAGTGATAGTTCCACCCCATGCTTGCTACACTCAGTAAAAGGCTCTGCTCGTTGCTTTGTCATTTTTCAAACCCCAGCAGCCTCCTGTTCATCATATAGGAGATAATTCATTCTTGCTCCTCTCTGTCAGGGCACTGCTGGGAGTCTGGGAATTGGGGCTCAGGAGGGAACGTTTAGTGTTCATTTAAAGTGACACTTGAGGAATCACCTGCTGCTTCTGCATGACAGAAGTGGGCCGGGGGCGGGGGGGGGAGGATGGGGGGCGAGGGGCTGGGAGGAACCAGGCCACGGACGGCTGGGCTAGGGTGCATCTCCCAGATGTCCTCACTGCCCAGGGTGGACCAGCAGCCTGGACCTGGCCCTCCACACAATGGACCCTTTTCACCAGCTGAGGAGCGCTCACCGCCCCCAAGAGCAGGCTTGCCCAGCACCACCTGCACCCCAGGCAGGACGCCGGGCTCTGGAGTGAGCCCAGTGGGCTTTGTGTGGGTGGACGCTACGGCTTTTAGGCTGTGGCCTTGGGACAGGTGCCCAGAGAGATGGGAAGAGGCTGTGCATTCTGCCTTTGCTTCCTTCAGGGCTAGTCCTGAGGGGGATGTGCATGGCTTGTCCTGCGGAATGGCCTGGGTGGAGAGTTCCCGCCATGCCACAGCCTTCCTGTGTTCACGAGTCCTGTCCACCCCTGTGCTCCTCTCCCTCAGCCTCCTGGGGCTCATGTGAGAGACTCTGCTTGCTCCAGGTTCAGCCTGCATTCTGAGTGCCTGTGATCCAGTCACGGTGCTGAGGATGTTTCCTGGTTGGCCGGTGACCTTAACATCACCGTCACGAATACCTGGGCTGCCCGACTGTCAAGAGGGAGGGTCTGCTTCGGCTCTTAGTTTTGGAGTCTTCAGTCTGTGATCGGTTGGTCCTGTCACTTAGGTCTCTAGAATGTGTGCAGAAGCAAAACCCCGCTCCTGTTGGCTAACGGGCAAGACAGAGAAGAGGAAGGGGCTGGGCTCCCAGCTGCCCCTTCAAGGGCACATCTTCAATGACCAAAGCTGTCCCTAAGTCCTCCTCTCAAACTCCTTCCCCTCTCAGGAGCACAGCACTGGAGA